ATACCGGTACCCATCCCTACTTCTCAGTGGAGGTAAAACCCAAGGTTTAGCATTTTAACACCTGATTTGTGTGTTTTTTGTTCAATGAGCAGTATGACCTGAGACTAAACCACACTATCACACAGCAAACACCCCCTATCTTATGGATGTGTAACCCTGTGAAAACGCTTCCTGTTCAATAAAATAGGGCTGGAAGTGAATTTAGTTTCTTATGAAACAATCTTTTCTTATTGGACAAACCTGTTGAAATTAGAACTTTATAGATTTGGCACCTTAAAATCTTTTCAATCATTGTCACAGAGATCGAGGGCATCTGTCTCAAAGTGGCATCTGTCATGGTCCTGGTCATCTGCAGCAGTCACCCTGGATGCATTTAGGACCTCCTCAGACCTTTGCCAGGTCGTCAGATGTTCTGTACTGCTAAATCGGCCTCTATGCTTGCTTTAAACTCCTCGTAACTTTGTGTTTTGCTCCTTGTGTCTCCTGTCACCGGTGCTTTGGATCACTCCCCACGCTAACCTGTTACTTCCTCAGATTGTCTGAAGCTGGTCTGCTATCTGTTACTACTCACCTGCTGCCTATCCACTGCTCACTGGAAATCCAAAAAGGATTGGAAAGATCACCTACCTGCCCTACCTCCACTCTGAACACAATGGGGTGATGCAGGTGAGACTTTGGAAAGAACGCTTCATGTCTCTTTGAAACCAAAACAATACAATTTGACAGCTTGTGCAGCTATTTGAAGAGCTTGGGAAGCAGGAGTGCTGTTTTGCTGTAAAGGCAGCCATCACAACTCTCTGTCAAATGCAAAAAAAACACAAAGGTGCTGAAACCCTTAAACACTGTTGTTGTAGTTATTTTCTTTCTAAGAAGAACCATGGTCGAATGACCGATGTCACGAACTAGTCTCCAGTCCTTGACATTGTCCGTGTCTGGGTCTCGTCTGAGTATTATTCTCCAGCTTGTGATTAAAAACATGGATATGAAACACCATGATGCAAACAGCTTATTATTTATTGTTATTTAACTCTGCTTCTGCTCTGCTCACGCCAAACTGCTTTAATAAAATATCCTGTAATATCCACCAAAGTCTAAATTGTAGACGTTCTCTTTTTAACCATTTGTGAAACAGCAAACCCTGAATATTCATCCTCAGTTTAAATAGCTCCTACAGGTTACTGGAGCCTTTTAAAAGTTACAGAACCTCAGGGCCTGCTGTTCAGGCCACTAAACTGGGCCCAGTTAATTACCAAGTGCACAGGTGTTACTGGCTTTTTCTTTTCTTAACAGACGAGTCAGGGTAGACGACTGGACAACAGAGGCAGTAAATGTTAGGCTCCATCAGGCTCTATACTACTTACTGTTCAAGTCCCACAGGATCAGAGGATAGGACTTTTTTAACAGAGCTGTCCTGTGTTGGGGGAACACTACAGGTGTCATTTATTATCAGCTCTGATGTTCTGTAGCACTCAAGCTCGCAACCTTTATTACAGTGTTTATAGTACAAAGCCTCAGAATATCAGGCTGTTAGAAAGCTAATGAAGCCAAATAGTTAATTTAAACTTACCTATGGATTATCTGCTCATGACTGTAAAACCTCATTAGTTCAGAGAACTTCAAAAAGTACGTAAACTTGTTGCCTTAGAAAAACGGTGAGTTATTTATTCGTGTTTAAAAAAGTGGCCCAGGCAATGAACTATTCTTTACTATTCTATTATTCTATATCTAGTAACCCTCAATATGTTCTTATTCACTGCTTAAGATTGGATCTTAAAGCATCAGTATACAACTTATATAATATTTCACATTTTGAATATGAAGTGAACACTGTTATGGCAAAGATTTTATTTTTATCAAAAAAAACAGGCAAGTGGGGTTGTTACTGGAGTCACAAACATAAAGCAGAATTCATTTATCAGTCACATTTATCAGCGAACATGGACGCTTTCAGACCTAACAGACTGTTAACAGGTTTTTAAACCACTCGAGTGGAAGGTTTAAAGGCTGACTGATAAAAATGAAAACATTGTACAAACTTCAAAATCATATTTCTCCGTTTTATTAGACTCTGGCATATATAATATCTTGAGCTTCTTGACTTTCATGCATTTCTCCAACCTCTTTTAAAGAAAATATTTTTTACTTAAAAAAAATAGCATTACCTCTTTACTCAGTTTGCAACAGCAACATCAAGAAAAAGACAAAGAGGTTTTCAATTGCAAAGAAACTGAAAACAGATCATCTGTTCAGCTGCAACACTGGAGTGGATTAATAACATCTAAAATCAAGCAAAATGACAAGTTTTAAAACAACCAGAGATATTTAAAGTGCTGCAGACTATAGCAGAGGTACCAACAAACATATTGGTGCAATTTGGAAGTACTGTTCTCACTGCAAGTCAGTCAAATAAATCATTTCATGTGAGAATAACTTGTAAAATGTCCTTGTGAGTCTCAGCAACAAAACGGTGCCCATAGTTGGTGCATTGTTTGGAAGCAGGGAGGAAAGAAGTAGAAGCTGGTGTAATCATAACAATGAATGTGCTTCTCATACTTCAAAAAAGGTTCTGCTGCTTCAGCTACACGTGGCTGTCTGGATGGATACAGCAGGCTGATGACAAAGGAAGGGATCAATATCTTTGGAAAATGTTTCTGAGCAGGAGGTGAAGAACATCCCAGCAGGTGGTGGCGATGACCATGTTAGTCCTCGATGGAGGTCAAGGGCACTCGGCGGAAAAAGAAACTGGATCCTCTAAAGAGGTGACCCTGGCATGAGGGAGACAAAGGGAAGGAATATAGGAAAATATATA